CGAAGACGAAGACGAAGACGAAGACGAAGACGAAGACGAAGACGAAGACGAAGACGAAGACGAAGACCCATCGGTGTTCAATGTCCAAATATCGAGTTTGAAGCCAAACCCTACAGAACCACCAGGAGAAAACACAGGTAACAGATTATACTAGCACGAGTTTGAAATCTCCCTTTTCGGAAGAGTTTATCTTCGCATGCTCCTCCCTCCGCTGCTGGAGTGGCAGATTTCCTGGCCCATTGAGCGCACGCGATTTGTCGCCCTCCCACGGCAAGGCAGAGCTGTACGTCATCAATGTCACTGCAGCCTTCGCTGTCCCTTTTGTCATTGTCTTCTTCAGAACCGTCCCGTGCAGAAACAATGATTTTGTCCACATTTTTGTCCATGATCATTCTGTTCTCTATGGTAGGCGCAAAGTGAGAGAGAGAGAGAGAGAGAGAGAGAGAGAGAGAGAGAGAGAGAGAGAGAGCGGTATTTTCAGGAAAAGTAGCGATTGATGGTAAGTGTCCCCCCTCCTCGTGCATGCGCATTTCAAGCGAGATTACAAAGTTGTCTTGCTATAGCCAGTTGTCACATTGCACAATAGACAGAGACAATCCGCGACATCTTCTGAAGAGAGACTGCCCGATACGGTCAAAGCCGGGAGTGGTGGCTGAGGGCATCAACTTATCTCCCTACAGGGCCTCTGACTGGGAGGTCCTAGGTTCTAGTCCTGATGGTGGCAGGATACACTAGCTAGACGGCAGGATACACCTTCGTTTCTAGCTAGAGAGTTAAGTTAAATTCGGTCGCGCTCAGGAGGAGAATTCTAGCGGCCGGCTGCTCTCATCGATAGTTTTCCGTGGTTTCTCCGATCAGTACCACGGAAATACGGGAGCAGGGCCCTAACAAATGGGCCGCGGATCGCGTGCGATCTTTTCTTCCTCTTTCTTGTCCTATTCTCACCCTTACTTCTACACTACCACACATGCCAGGAGACCGGCCGGGAGCTCAAAGCTTGTCCCGGCTGGGGCGGCGTTCCTCTGGCGGGAGATACCTGGTTGATGGGAAACCCCGTCAGCCGACGGTAAGTCGTAGCCGTATCTCACCATCCAGTGGGGGAAGATCACCGCAACCTCTCGAGGAAAACATGTTCTCTACACTTACGGGAATGATAACCTTAGTCGTTGCCGCGCCCGGAATCATTAACCAATCAACCGGTACGGTATGCGAGTACCGGGAGAGGACACACCCCTCTACTGCAGCGCGCCCTCCAGGGCCGTCCCTCGGCTTAGGGGCGCGGCGCTCCCTCCGGCGCGTCTGTCTTCCGGTGAGCAGCGGGCGCCTTCGCCGTGATAGCTTCCGAACCGAGGAAATTGCTTCCGGCGAATCCACTTTCTTTCAGTAGCTTTCGACGAATCCACGGTGGTGACTCACGGTGGTGAAGGAAAATTATCGATTATATTTTGTGGTCGAAAATAACGACCTGCAGGCAACAATAGATATTGTCAATCACTTTCAGAAACAGTACATTGTACTTTACAAAAAGTTCTAAGCAAATATGCTTGATCAGATGATTTGAATTCATTACGCAAAATATTTTTGTAAGAAATGGACAATGCAATGTAATTGCTTTTCAAACGTATTCGATTTTGAAATAAACTGTTACATGATTGAGGAGGTCACCCGAAAACATGGTTACAAAAAAGTATTTTCGAATGGGCAGAGATATTGGCATTTTCATATACATAAAATTGGAAAATTATACCCAAAAAAACGAATAAACAAAAAATAAACCATGTCTTGGGCAGGTGCCGTGGCAAAAATTCTAAAAACAAGTGCTACTTCTAAGTTCGCTTTTTGTAAGAGACCTCGGAAATCATCATTACACATGTGTCAATTTTGTTCTCCGGAGATTCGTGTTTATTTTACGGGGCTATTAATTTCTACAATTAGTGGAATAAGTGGAGAAAAGGTTAAATTAACTTTATATTTCTTTCTGTGATTCAAATCCCAAAACTGGATTTAAATACATCAGCTGTCAGAATGACAGTGCTTCATCCGAATAAAAAGAATGAAATTAGAGGCATTTTTGAGAGAATCTTGTTGAGATGTTTTGGAAAATATTCATGTTTCGACTCAAAATTACGCACAAATAAATACTATTTAAAAAAACTGTATGCAACGTAATTTAAATATATACTTTTAAGGAAGAGATTCGATTAAGGAAACTAATGGTGCGGCAACAGCACGTACTTTCTCGCGTAATGGTTATGTAATACTATTTATACCACACTTTCTCTGAGAATTAACACAACTCAGTCATCTTTTTTGTTAAACTCAATACAAATTGCTTTTAAAATAGCTCAATCATTTTATAACAATGAGACGTAATTCTCAGAATTTTGTGACGCGGAATGCCATTGTTGCATTCCAATCTGATATTCCCGGAAGGCTTGCAAATTTCATTTTGCATATTACAAATAGATTTTAAAAATGTCTAAAAGATTGATTTGTAAACGTATAATACAAGTTCGTCTGTAAGAAACAAATACGAAATAATTTACAAATAACTCTCTCAAAACGTGCTCATGTTTGCGAAAAAATCAACAAGACCTTATTTGAAGATCTGTATTGATGAACACAAGTATCTTCGCAATTGTAGTTGTAGGAAGACGCCGAAAAGAATGTTAAATTATAGAAAAATCAGAGTTTTCAACCAAAATGAGACTTACGCCATCTCTTAAACGTCCATCAGACTATCCAATAACAAAGTCATTTTTTTTAAATGTTCCAGAACTTTCATGTAAAGTACCCCCAAAATTGAAATATTGGTTTCAAATTCAAGGATCCTCGACATCATCTAGATCAGTTGCGGAATATCAATTTTCGAGAAAATCGGTTGAACGTTTTAGCGGCTAGCGTTGTTCACAGACGGACAGAAGTTTTGCTGTCAATCGATTTTTCGGTATCAAAGACCCACAAAACATGTATTCTGGCCACACCATGTGTTAGAGGACTTTTTTCTAAAATTAGCATTGGATTTATCCACTTCTTCGTTTCCAGAGCCCCGTAATAAGTTTTTTTTTGCCATAAATTCTCCGTTTTTGCGCACACTTAACTTTCCACCGCGTAAGCCGTAGCAAATACCAAGTATTCGCTGCTCGATAGTATTTGGCGGCAGCGAGAAAGTAAAAAGTAGAATAGATGTTCACGGGTATGAATGGACCGTATCAGACGGTACCCTTTGTAACCGTTTCTTTGTGTTCTTGCTACATGTTACACCTATATTATTAAGTTGCTATACATAAAATGGAGTACATTACTGTTTCGAATGCGCATTGTGGACTTCTCGTTCAGCGAGGCCACAATGAGTTCTATTTATGTGATATAGGGGCGCTGCGAGTAAATCCCATGACTAGTACTAAATTTAATAAGAACATCGCCAGAAGGGTCGATCTGATACTTCAAATAAATTGTTTGAAGCAAGACAGCGGTTCCTTTTTTGAGAACAAGTTCTGGATGAAGTGTTGTGACTTGTGAACGTCAAAATCTGAGTTGCACGTCAACGTTCCCGCGTTATATAGCCTACCAATAGTTCTTTTTGAAGTTGTGAGAATGATGTCCACAACAGCCCAGAGGCGCCTTATGAGAGATTTCCAGAAGCTACAGGAAGATCCCCCCATTGGAGTGAGTGGTTCACCACATGAATATAATGTAATGATATGGAATGCATTGATATTTGGTCCAGTTGATACACCATTTGAAGATGGTACTTTTAAATTGATTCTAGAATTCACAGAGAAATATCCTAATGCACCTCCTAGTGTAAGATTTGAATCTGAAATGTTTCATCCAAACATATACAATGATGGTAGCATTTGCTTGGATATTTTACAAAATAAATGGAGTCCTACATATGATGTGGCAGCAATTTTGACATCTATTCAGTCGCTGTTAGGTGATCCAAATCCCAACTCTCCAGCAAATTCACTTGCAGCACAATTATACAAAGAAAATAGAAGAGAATATGTAAAACGAGTTAAAGCGTGTGTTGAAAAGACATTTCTAGAGTGACTGTTACCTCTTTGTAGGATTAGAATGCAAATATTTTGTTGAAACTTGATGAATTGTCAATTATCAATGTAGCCTAGTGTAAGAAAATGTTATTTTCTGTCTCTCATTAGTAATAATTTCATATCTGGAGAAATGATGATTAACCTTTCATTTCTCATTGGTGTGGAAAGAACTTGTCTTGTTTATCATTTTCATCGATTGTCAACCTTCGTTCAGCAAACACAGCTATAATACGGTAATATTTAGTTCTTTTAAAGTGTATTTTCCTTTCATCAGTCTATTTTCCCCCCCTGATGTTCCCTGGTGCACTCACAAGGTTAATTATTCATGCAAGACATGTATTCTAAAGTTACTTTTGTTAAACTTGTTAATCCAAAGTTAGATTTAATAGAAACATAGGTATATACAATTCTATTTTAAAGTTGACAAAAATATTGTATGAATTTTTGGTTTTGTATTTCAACATACTTTCTAATAATTATGGCAGCACATCACTGATGACGGTAAATATAAAATATATTTGATGATATTTAAAAACGATTGAGGTTAGAGTTTTGAATAATATGCAGGTGTGGAATAAATAAAGAATATTATAATCAGATTTATGAATGGTTTAAAAACAAATCATTTATGCACTTATTATTAAATAGATTTATTGCCAAAAGTTAAAAAGAAATTGGTACAAAATAAAAATGTTGTTAACTTGAATCTTTGATATTGGTATGTAAGATTTAAAGATTCAATTCTGTATGCTTTTGTGTTAGAAAATATAACCTATGTTTACTTTGACCAAAAGTTTTGTTTGTCTTGACCTTTCCAACTCTAAATTTACTTAGACAATGCTTACTTGCAGGGTTGCTCATAAAAGGGGGCAGTCCTGATGAATATCAAGGGTCCATGGAAAAATATTTCCTTTCTATATATATTTCTTTTTTATTCAATTATGATTGTTTGAAAGTTCAAATCAATAGTTGTAATAATTTAAAAACTCGTAGGTGATCAGAAAGATGCTCATAAAAGTGTATAGAGGCCTATGAAATCAATCAGCCACCTTGCTCCCTTGTCTGCTGTCAAACCTCTTAAGGTTGAAATCAAAGCAAAGGTCATGAATCACCAGCTAATGAAGAATGTTGTAGAAAATGGTATTTATGCATTGGGAATATATTGACAAGTTTCTATTTTTAATGAAAATAGATCTTTGTTAAATTTTTATTTAGTTAAACAATTTAGTTTAATTTTTCAGATCTAGGAAGAAATTTTATTCTTGAATTTTTATAATGCTTGCAAAAAGTGAATGATGTACTGACTGATAACAGAAAAAAGTATATCAATGGGAGTCAATGTGACTTTAGTAATGAAAATTGAGATTCATTGATTATAATGGTATCTGTGGAATGTTGTGCAATCTTGTCTGTTGTGAGCAATGACAATCAGTACAATGATAAAAATATTATTAATAATAATAACAACAATAATAAAAATATAACAACAAACTATATTCATATGTTAATAATAATTATCTCTTAAAATGTATTACAAGACTATTTGCTCTAGCGTTACATTATTTTACAGAAATTTTTATATCATAAAACAACACGAAATTTATAATATTTTGTGCATACTTACAATTTGACACAAGGTGCGGGGGAGCGTGGCCATGGATTATTGCCTGGCTTGAACAATATCCCACAGATACTATTATAATAAATTGAATCTCAATATTTACATAAGTCACATCAACCCTAGTTGACATAATTCTGCTTTTATCAGACATTGTATCATTTACTTTTTAGATTCATTACATAAACACATGAATAAAACTAGTTCCTTGATTCAAAAACCGCAATTAAATTATTCCCCCCCCCCAAATTTAACAAAGATCTATTTTTCACTGCCGGGGATGAGTTTGGACCCTGAGAAATACACAAGAATTTGTCGTGGATAAAGTGAACTTTGTCAAGTTTCCTCAGAAGTTGAATGGTCAGTTTGGAAGTTGAACCAACAATTAAATAAATAAATACACACATATGTGCACTGGCACACACCAACATACACACACAAACAAGCAAACCAAAAAGGTTGTCATCTAGCATTCTTAATTTTCAAGATTTTTGCAATTTTCTTGAGTAATATGTAATGTAGTAGAACAAAAGTTATACTCTAATGAAGCCTATGAGCTGTAGGAGCTGGAAACTGTAATCTTTAAAGAACAGTTTCAAACACTTAATTTTTTATGCATCCCAGTGATGCAAAAACATCCTAATTCCAGAAACAGTAAATGTATTTATAATAGATATCTTATTTTTTAAAGACTATTCTCTATTATGCAAATCTCAAAGAATAACATATTGCAGGTATCGCATTCTACGACTAATGAAAATTATTTTTGTAAACAATAACCAAGAAAAAAATTAAGGTTTGCTTAATAAAATACAATTTTAGATGTGTTCTTAAAAATCATTGAAATATACTGAATATTCCCTGAGATAAGAGATACATGACAATTTCCTACGTTGAAAAAAGTTGCAAATCAAATACATGTTTAAAAATAACTTGTTTATGTTTTCATGTTAGAAGTTACCATAGAAACTACCCAAGTTGATAAAATGCAACAATTAGAGATTTTATTGATTCATGGTAAAATCCACATCTCATTTAAATAATTAAACACATTACTGCAAAAGTTTTTAATGAGTCCGATACGAATTAGTTTACAAGAAGCATTTTTTAACCTTGAAGTGCTGGAAATGAACAATTTCCATTTTTCTGGTAGGACTTGTCTTTTACATTCTGTAATTCAGCAATACTAAGCGATTTTTAAACCATGAACTCAAGCAGACTGCATACTTACACTTGAAAACTTGAAAATTACATTGTGCATCGAAAGCAATTGAACATGTTAAAATGTAAAGTATTAGAACTGTATAATAAAAAATAGTAGTCTACTATTTTGTAGGATAAAAAATAATGAATATTTACTACTAAATCAAATATTACATAAGAGTTATTTTAAATAACAATAACACCTGTACGTGTACCCAACTAAGTATTCAAAGTGCCAATTTTATTCTATTCTATTATTGTATAATAAAACAATTTGTTTTAGTAAGCTAGAAGTAGAGTATCATACAGAGGAAATGTTATATTCTTATATTCTGACAATTTCAGCCATTCGCATTGAAAAAAGGGAGCACAAGATAAGATTGTTTTGATATGCTAAGGGAGGGTCACAGATACAGAACTGTTAAGTTGACATACAATAAAAAATGACGGATTAAAAAAGTAAACTGCTTTCTAATACCAAAAACTTCTGAAATTTTTCAGAGGAATAAAATTAAACAACTGATTATTTTCAAAAATTTTAAAATGTTATTTATCCTATCTATCCTTTTAACTCCAATATAGCATAAATGGTACAGTGATTGGCCACCCCCCAGTGATTGTGAACTTCAACTGTAATTTAAATTTCTATTTGTTCTAATACAATGTTTTAATATTTTGCTTGTAAATGGCGCAAAGGGACACTTAATGAGTATAATGTAATATTTACTTTGACCACAAGAGTGTAACTGTTTTCAATATGGCTGATGCTTGTTAACAGTGTAGTGTGTGTTCATTGTAAGTAAAGATTTCTTGAGATTTTCTTTAGAAATCTGATATCCAGCAGTGCTGTTTGTTGATTACGGCGGTAAGTAAATCACATTCATATGTTATAAAACACAAATCTTATTGTGTTAATGATATCAGCTAAAAATGAGAAGCCTAGCTTTGCATATTTAGTGAATAGAGAGGGGTGGCCAATGACTGTAACTTTGATTGTGTAGGGATTGTGTTATTGGCCACTCTGCTAATGATTGTTGTCAGATTGTTTATAATTGGAGTTTAATATGAATGCACAGAGATACATCCTGCATGGGCCTGAAATAAGTGATCTTATAATCTCAAAGAAGCCAAAACAAGAGTATGATACAGAAACCATGGCACTCTATCAAATGTGTAAAAAATAACAGGTATATGTGCGTTCTGCTGCAAAATCATTTGATATTCCCAGAACAAGTTTGAAATTTCATTTAAACAACCCAGATCACAAAAGAACACTAGAACCTGATACTGTATAATCTAAAGAAGAAGAAGAAGACATTCTTCTTAAGTGGATTTGTGAAAGTTGGTGGATGGCGAAATAAATGATCCTACAAAGGTCTGTATTAGCAAGAGTCACATTTTTTAAACATTTCCAATGACAGGAAAGATTTTAGGTGAAAAAGGAAGTAAGAATGTTTTACCCAGTGGAATGAGGAGCTACAAAAGATAATGACAGTCATGTTCTGCTTATCAATCCATACAAACGGAAACCAGAAAGAATGGCTGAAACACTCCCAAATGGCTGGGAGATTTGAAACAGTGGCACTGGATGGATGACAAGCGAGGTATTCTACGAATATATTTGAAATGTATTCCATCCATTTCTATTAAAAAAAATGCCATTACACTCTCTGTGACTGTGACACTCTCTGAATCCGTAGACAACCAGAAGACACATCTGACTTACGAATTGAGATGAAAATGCTCAGATTTGAAATTCAAGGATATTGTAATTTACCCTAACAGCACCTATATAAAATATTTAAGATATATTAAATCTGTATCTTTCAAATTGTGTTTTAATGGGTAATGTAATAATTAATTGAATATATCATTATACCAGATGTTTGTGTTGGAAAAAATTCAGCGGCCAATCAGTGTCATCATGTTTGGCTAATCACTCTACAAAATTACACATTTTAGTTAAAAAAATTAATTAGTAATGTAATGTTCATTTTCTGATAGAAATTATGGTTGGGGAAGTAAAGGGACCGTTGGACAGTACAAAGTTACTTGCAAATTTTCAAAATTTTACTTTTCAAATGCGTTAATACTGTTACAACTCTAAAGTGGCCATTCACTGTATGTTTATCCTACATCAATATCAGCATTGGTTACTTTAATACTATTGAAATCAC